TACCCAAATTTGTCTTTGTACAACTCAAAGACGGGGTTTGTCAATCAGTTAATTTTTAAAACTTAAATGTATGAAGTTGTTTTTCCTTTTATTGTTAACAAAAGAAGAACATTGAACTACCTACCAATTCAAGTTGTTGTCATCCTTATGGACAACTTCAGCGCACATGTTGGTGACGAGCTCAAAAAAATATTTTACAACAACTTCATTTGTTTTCATTTCTTCGAGCCTCATTCAAGTCATATTGTCCAGCCGTTCGATTTGTGTCTTTTCGGCGCGGTCAAAAAATTAAGCACATCTGCAACACCGTTGTTCAGAAGTTCAACTAGTACCATTCAAACAATTTCACAACCAACTCAAAACTGTTTCACTTCTTCTACAGCAGCAGACGTGTTGGTTAATAATGGAGTTACTCTAGACAACTTAGTTGCGTCATGGATAAAACAACTTGATTATCCCTTGAGTAAACTCGCAACTTCAGATGAGAGAGCAGCAAGTAGAAGTGTAACTTCGGAGCATGACTAAAGTAATGAAAGTCATCGAGGAAAAGGCAACAAGAAAAATATAGAGTCTTCATTCCATCGAACAGGCTTTGTGGTTGTTAACCACAATAAAAACAACAAAGTATTTGTAGACATCAAATCGGTAAGTGTGTTTATGCGTTTAACAACTGCCAACCCCTCTCCAGAAGAAATGTTTCAACTTTCTGCGCCACAATCAATCACAACGTTGACTAGAGTCAAACAAGTAACACAAGAGAGTGTAAAACAGCTTGAGGAGTACTGTCTCGGCATTTTCAGATAATCCATTCTTTTGGTTTTTTATTTTTTAGATCAAACTCTTCTTGTTTTTGTTTTATGAAATATGGGATTATTTCCCGTTTTTTTCATATTCGGCAAAAGGGGGGACTAAGAATCAGTATCAAAAAATCACTTTTTTCTTTTTGTGCTTAAAAACCCGAAATTACACATTAAAAATTTAGTAAACATGTTTTAAAACTAAAAATAAAAGGACTAATGTCGAGTAACCGGACTAAGGTAGTGGCCTATCTGTAGACCTTTACTTGGGACTTAAATGTTTTTGGACACTTTGTTTAAACCAATTAAAAACTATAATTTTTATTAATCAGAACCGTATTGGACTTATACAAAACGAACTTAGTCAGTCTTCTAACGTCATTCGTAGCAAAAATATCTAGTAACTTTTAAACTATAGTTATTAATTATATCGTGTTATGATTTAAAAAGATTTAATTATTTTTTATCTTATTTTTTCAGTTTTTTACCCAATTTCTTTAAAAACAAAAAAAAACATTTTCTGTTTAAGTAACAAGTTGGTAAAATAAAATAAACTTATGAAACTGTATAGAACAGCGATTGTTTATATATGAAATAATATTTGAGAAATAAAACAGTTTTTTACATAATGTGTTATTTAATATGTTTAACCCATACAACAGTTTTTATTACTCACAATAAAACAATATCAACATACAATGTTCAAACATAAATTGTTTATTCCATGGAGTTGAACTTCCATCTATTTCAATTGAATTTTACCTCGATGAACACTTTTTATCAAGTGATATTCTATTGAAGTCCCACAGAGAAATGTTTTTCTTCTTTGCTTTGATCCATTCTATTTATATTTTTGGTCAAGTTATTTTAAGAATGTCTACAAACAAACTAATTTATCAGCACTTTTGGCTAATCTAAATCCTAATCACTTTCCGATATAAAAAATAAATAGAATTTGCTCCTTTTTTTAATAGGATATTAATAGGATGATATTTCATACTTTATAATTCGAATAATTATTGTAATTCTATGAAAAAATGTTATTTAATGTTGTTGGAATAATAAAAAAAGTGTTTTTTAATATATTTTCAACAAAAAAAGTTCATAATATTTTATTCTAAGCCATGTCCTTGTCGTCTGGTCAAATAAAAAATACTTAAATACAATAAATGGAGTCAATTAACTTCTTTTTTGCTCTTGTTTGTGTTGAGGTTCCTTTGGTTGTTGTGGATGAGTTTCTTGCACTGGTGTTGTAGTTGGACTTTGAGATGAATGTTCTGTTGGTTGAGCACCTTGTTGTTGGACAGTTGGTTGTTCTGGGTGTTGAATTGGTGTTCCCTGAATCGCACTTCCTGTTTGAGTTGATGTGGGTTCACTATGTACTTGAGGAGTTGGTTTATGTTTATAAGGTGGGATTGTAAACCTCTCTTTAACAATTTTTGAAGTAATTATTGGCTTCGCCACAGGAGTGATGAAGTGAGGAGGCTGTAATATTTGAGGAATTGGTCTTATCAATGTTTGTTCTGCAACGTGTGGTGTTTGTGGAGTTCCCGGTGTTGGTTTTGTAGCAGTAGCTTGTTGTACATATCTTCCTCTTTCTCTCTGTTGTTTAATCAGTGCTTTTCTTTCTTGGTGAGTAGTTGGCTTTAATTCGACTTTTTGATGTTGTTTTTCTTCTTCTTGTTTTTGTTGTTGCACTTTTGGTTTTGCGCCTTGAGCAAGTGCTTGTTCTTCTGTTGGTTTTGGTGTTTTTGGTCTTAAAGGTGGCAACAATGGCAATTTGATGTCTTTGCCTTTTTCGGTCATCATAAACCGCTGTTCAGCTATCATTTCTGCAAGTGACTTCCGAGGTGCCTTTTTCGTTGGCGGCTGTTCTACTTTAGGAACATCTTGTGATTTTGGCAAAAGATATTTCTTTTCTGTAGAACTTTCATGCCCCTCTTCCATCACAACTTTTAATGTTGTTAAAAAGTCGGCAAATTTGTTGTGTGCTCTGAAAAACTCTGGTGTTTTTTGAACTTTCAATAATTTGGCAAATAAAACCAAATACTTTACTTTCATCTCCAAAAGTGTAACTTTAAGATATAAAGCATTCTGGAAAAATACCCTTTCTCTCATTGTCAAATCTTTTGATGTTTGCACGTTATTTATATTTGTCTTCAAATGGAACATATAACATCCATAACCTTTTTCGGTCTTTTGTAAATTGTAAGCCTTTTCTATTAACTCTATCCATTTCATCAATTTGGCTTTTTCAACTTTTCCTTTTGTGTCAAACTCCTTTAACAACTCTAGCATTTCTTCTTCTGATTCTTTCATTTCATCAACTGTTTTCCACAAATTAACGGAAAAAACTTGGAACTTCTCAACATATTTGTTTGATAAATCGGTCAACACCTTAATATAACTTTCTAAATTGATGATCAGTTTTTTTAAGGCACCAACTGCCTTTGGTGGTATTAAAACTTCTTGTGGATCATCTTTTGGTTGATCTGGTTGCCCAAATACAACAGTAAACAACACCAACACTAACAACATTATGATTATTTAATTCCTTTTCAAAAAACAACCAATTCATTGAAGTTGTGGAAAAGTAACTTCTCACCATGATTACTTGACTTTCGAAAAAGTTGATTTGTTATACTTTAAAATCTTCAAACTAAATTTATTACTAAACACTATTGTTATTTGTCAAGTTTGAAAAACTGACTGTACTTTCATTCAATATGAAATTCTTTATTCGTTTTCATAAAAATTTGTCAACTTCTAATATCTATTTTTGAATCACTTACAATTGCCTTATATAATCAACAAATGGATTATTCCATACTATTATAAACTATTCATATTTAAACAAACTCATCATTTTGAAGTTAAAATTTAAAACATATTTCGACCCACTTCCTCCTTTTAAAAAATGTTTTTTAATTGATTACAACTTTGAATATAAACAATATAAGAATATGTACAACTTACTTCTCTCAAACTCAAAACACGACTCTCAATATTTAAAAGTAAAACATTTGCACATAAAAATTAATTAAATTCCAAAAAGTGCGTCGATGCACTTCATCACATTCGGACCCGTCACCTTTTCTTCAATGACTGGATTATATTCGACAATATCAGCTGAGTGTAGATTTTTCATTTTGCCCATTTCTTTCATGAAGTAAATCGCGTCTTCGAGTTCAACACCATTAGGCACAGGAGTACCTGTTCCGATGATATACTTTGGGTCAATCCCGTCGATATCGAAGCTCAAGTGGACGTAGTCGTAGTTCTCAAACTTTTTAAATATCTCTTCCACGACCTTTTTCATCCCAACTTTTTTGACTTGTTCTGCGGTGTAGTTCGAGACGCTCTCGACTTTAATTTCACTTCTCTCTCCCGGGTCTATACTACGGATCCCAACATAAAACAAATCTTCCGGAGTGATCTTTCTCGTCATCACCGTGTTCAATTTCTCCGGGCCTATACCAACACAACACGCTAATGGCATTCCATGAATGTTTCCACTCGGCGACGACTCCGCAGTATTGATGTCCGGGTGCGCATCAAACCAAACAACACCAACTCGCGCATTTGGCGTCGATTTGTCGGACGCTTTGACTGCGCCAGCTACCGTCCCAAGACCAATCGAGTGATCTCCACCGACATTCAGAACAAAGCGCGTGTGACTGTAGTGCTTTGCGATAGTGTCGCGAAGTTCGAGATTTAATGAATAGACTTTCTCTAAGTTCTTAAGACCCTTTGCGGTGTCGCGGGAGCCTTGTGGCATTGAAATGGTTTCAATGTCCACTTTCTTCTTTTTTGAGAGGTGCGACAAGACTCCATATGACTCGAGGCTCGTTGGCCCTTGTTCGACACCATCTTTGGGTTGGCCGTATTTCTGTGGGACTCGGATGTACGTCACAGATTCAGACAACATGATTTACTTTTGTGGATCGCGGGAATGGTTTTATATACGTATTGGTTTAGTTCTTTATAATTTGAATTGTTACTTTCTTTAAGTTTAGTTAATGATGAGAAAACAGGTTTTTGGAGAATCTGGTCGAATTGGTTGTTGGACTTTTGTAAAGGGCTTTGATTTCGTATGTGGGAAAATCTCTCTCAAAAAATCATTATTTTGAGTTAACTTGTATTGAAATAAACAATTTTGGGAAACGAAGAATAAAAATGCTAGAGTATTCGTAGATAGTGTTGTGTTTCTGTTGACGGAAAATGCCCAGAGCCTATATTTTCTTGTCTTCTTAAAGTTTGTTTTATAATTTGGTTAATAATACGTGAAAAAAAGGGATTCTGTCCTATTAATTGTTATAATAAGTGACTTTTTCTATTGGTAAAAAGAAGTTAGAAATGCATTTTATGTTGATTTTAGAAGTCAAATTAGTGATCTTATTAAAATAAATTTATTATAATAATAATTAAATGTATTATTTATTTTAGAAAAGAAAAAATACAGCAAAAATATAAAAATGGGAAAGTCAGAAACAAAAGTAATTTAATGGTGATTGAAGACGAATTGGCTTTTCATAACTTTTTACATTCTATTGTCTTCGATATAAATATAAAAAGTCAACGTGTCATTTAAAAATAGACGGAATTTCTTTTTGTTCTCTTTTTTGTTCAATTGTGTATACGATTATTTTGGACAAAATGCCCGATTCTTTAAGTTTCATTAAAGCTAAAATACCATCAAAATTCATCGGCATTTTTAAATGGAAAATAATAAAAACCCTAATTTACGTTATTTTTTTCAATTAAATATAATGAATGGTAACAAAACAACAATAAATGCCGTTTAACAATACGTCAAAAATCAAATTAATATTATTGGCATTTATTAATTATAGTTAAAACATTTTAAGAGTTGATAATACAGCAATAGATGTAATGAAAATGCCGAGAACTTTGTAATTTTTATTTGGTAAATTATCAATTTGGTAAAATATCTCTTTACACTTTAGTTAACAAAACTAAATACTTAACCATAACTTATAATTAAAATTATAATCAAGAAATAGTTGTAATTTTTGATCATTTTGATTTTATTTTATGTGTTTGTGATATATTTTTACAATCTTACAACAATAAAAATGTCATTATTTTTTAATTATTAATTATAATAAAAACCATTATAATTAATAATAAACTATGATTTAACAACACTATTATCCATAATTCTAGTACAGTTTTTTCTATTTTCTAATACATAATTAATAGTGTTAATCAACCACTCCAACTAGTAAAATAATACTATTATAACCATAATTAATACATCCCAATTAAAGATTACACGTCACTTGATTCCACATTCCGCCATTGATTGTAGTGAAGTTGTTTAGTAACAAAAACCACATCTAATAGCATTTGTTTTACTAGAGCAAGTGAGAAACAGGTCTAACCGATACAATCAAAACAAGTTACAAATCGAAGTCGTCAATGATATCGAGAGGGATATCTATATCGTCCTCCACGTCGAGTAAATGCAAGAATGGGTGTTCCAAGCACTCTTTTGCCTTCAGTCTTTTCTCTGCTTTTACGACCAACAATTTTTTGACAAAATCCAACGCCTCGTCGCACAAATCCTTTCCTTTAAATCTTTCCCAGTCGATCTCTCCCTTCATAATTTTCTCTTTGACTTCCTCGACGCTCCCGTCGAACGGAAACGACACGGTGAGTAAAACAAACGCCAGAACTCCGATACTCCACATGTCACACATCTCGTTATACGATTCTTTCATTCCGACAATTTCAGGAGCGGCGTAGTGTAACGTCCCGCACGACGTATTTAAGACTTCTTCGTCGAACCGTACTGCCAGTCCGAAGTCCGCGAGTCTAACGTCGAACGGTTCTTCCGCTGCGGAGCACAATATATTCTCCGGTTTGATATCGCGATGGCAAATGAAGTGCGTGTGTAAGTATTCTACGCCGCTACAGATCTGCGTTAAGATCTTAATGTTCTGACGCAGCGACAAGACTCCTTCCGTCTTTAAGACTTCGAAGAGTTCGCCTCCTTCGACGTATTCCATGATCATCAAGAATTGGACTTGTGTCTCTATCACTTCTTTCATGCCAAGTAAGTATGGGTTGTCAACTTGTTGCGAGATTGAAATCTCGCGCTCGATGTGTTCGATCGTCTTCCCGTGAATCTTTCTTTTATCTATCACTTTAATCGCATACAATTTGCTCTTGTCCGGGTGCATATGCGCTGTATATACACAACTGAAGCCTCCACGACTGATTAAACCGTGGATTAAATACACTTCACCGTGCGGTGAGGTGATGGAGGTCCCCGCTGTGAATGACATCTCCTTTCAAAGTGTGAATTGATGAGTTGGACTGGGACCCGAAAAAAAATACCTGTTTTAAGGGTTTTGCTATTGGCTTGAACTGTTTGAAAGATAAGGAATTGTACTATTTGGTATAATACAGTTTACTTCGATTTATAGATCTTTGGCACGAACGGGACAGTTGAGTTTGTCAATTGGAGAAGAACAAAAAACGGAAAGTAGAGCATTCCACACACTTTCTTTTTATTCGCCGAAATCTCCCGAAATATTTCGGAAATGTAATGTACAATAACATTCGTTTTGAAAAAACACAACCGAACGAAAAAGAAAAAAAAGCAAAACTTTTTGAAGACAAAAGCTAAAAAATAAAAAAAAGACAAAAAAATACGAAACATCTTAGGGAAATAAGGGTGTTGTTAGTGGCAAAATGCGACTCAATGAGTGAAAAATGTTGTGTGAGAAAAAAAAGTCGGCAGTTACTATTTTTGGGTCAAAGATAAGTGGTGAGTTTCGTAGAACAACTCAAAAAAATGAGATTGCAGAGAAAAAACATGATTTTTGCCGCAAAATAAACGCGAATAAAATGGTCTTTTTATTCAGAAATTCGTGAATTGGAGGTAAATCAAAAAAAGATCAAAATAAACTAACTCCACAACCATTCAATCAAATGTCCCAATTAAAGTTGTCAAGCAGATCAACGATAGACTTATCTATCTCATAGATTTGGTCGTAGCTGGTTTCTGTCGTCTTCTTGTCACTTTCCTCTTTAGTTTCTTTTATAATTTCGTTACTATCAATTTTACTATTTTCGTCTGGTTTGGGTAGTGTTACATTTATAGTTTTTATACTATCTAATTTACCATTCTCTGGAATGTTTAGTTGAATAGTTTGGATACTATCATTTTTACTATTTTGCACTTTCTCTTCACTTTCCTGTTGTTTTTCTTCAGTAGGACTATCCTTACTGATGTTATCAACCAACTCCTCAAATGTTGTTATGACGCGGCTTGTTATTTTGTCCACAGAATTAACAGGTTTAATTTCGGCATCACTTTTTTTGTCATCACTTTTTGCTTCGATTTTGCTTTGAAGTTTGTCATTAACTTCAAGTGGTTGCGGCATAGTTTGAGACTCATTTGATGTTTTTTTAATATCAAGAGGTGTCGTAAACGCTTGTAAATCAATTTTCATTTCAGGGATTCTCGTTTTGTCTTCGAATTCGCCTTTAAACCCAAAAACTCCTCGCTCAAATGCTAAAATTCCATCCATCTCACCTATAAGCTTGAACGTTCCGCTCTTCACAATTTCTCTCACTCTCTTCTCACATGGTGTTCTCTTCATTTTTCTTTTTTAAGTTTACTTACTTTTATAAGACTTTTTATTAATTTCATTATTAACATTATTAATTCAATTTTATTATATTTTAACTATATAAAAATTACTATGTTTTCCCGATATTTAGCAATAAAGTTACATACATTGTTTTTTTTTATTTTATATTTTTTTTTTAAAGAGGATTATTATAAAAAACAAATACAATTATAATAAAACAATTAATATATTATATTATTTGTTTACTAATAAAAATTAGTTTAAAAAATAAAAAATTATTCAAATTTTAAAAAGTTAAATTTACAATTTTTTTTCGACTCTTTATTGTTTTTTTTACCACTCAAAACATTTTAAATATTTAAACTACTTTTTATAATTAATTAAATTAAAAGATTTGGTTTTAAATTTTCAATAGTTGATTAGCAAGACATTAAACTTAAAAATAAGTAACAAAAATATCTGAAAAATAATAATATAGAATCAAGTCTAGAAGGTGTGTTTTGTCACTTTACAGTTACTAAAAAAATATTATTATTAAACTATAAAGAAACTAATAATAACAACAAATGTTAATTTATTGTTTTAGTTTTTCAACTTTACCATCAATTTATCATTATAAAAACTATATAATAGAAACACTATTCGTGTTTTTTAGCAACCACAAATATAAATGTAGCAACAAAAAGGCGTTTTTAAAGGACATCCTTCCACTCGATCTGAGGATTTTTGAGTAGAAAATGAGGTGTCGGTTCGAATTAAATAATTAGAGCTTCAATTTATTAAATAATAATAAATATAGTATAACTTTTCCATATTAAGACAGAAATAATAACCACATTTAATAAAAAAATTGAGATCGAATTACTCAAAGAATGACAGAAGAGAGAGTTGAAGCTCCTATAATGCAGAACGAAAGCGAAGAAAAATCTCCGAAGCCTGAAATGAGTGAGAGCCCAAACGAGAGCACAAATAAAGCCTCAAAAACGTCAGACAAAGAAAGTGACTCTTCTTCACCTCGCTCAGACGATAAAAAAAGTTCGTCTTCAATGTCTTCTGGAGATGAAAACGAACTTAACACACAAAGAAAAGTACCAGTGTCCCAGATCGTTCTTTCTGATGATGGAAATGAAACTAAAGAAACTCCAAAGAAACCTCAAAAGACTCCAAGTCCATTTCCTGATATTCCCGATTCTGTCATTCCAGAAACACTCGATGACGTATTGCCTTTCAAAGGCCTTTCAGAAAAAGCAATCCAAAATTTGTCGAAATACAATGACAAGTACGAAAATGGGAAAACAACATTACAAAGCTACATAGAAAGAATTAATGATATGGAAGGAAACTTATTTATTCAAGAGAAAGTCAAAGTCCCTGAAGTCTCTGTTAAGAACTTTGCCGATGAAGTCAAGAACTTAACGAAGTCGTACATTTCTCTCAATTTGAAGGGAAGAGGTGTCATGTTCATATCAAAGAACTATTATAGAATCCATGCTTTGAGTTTGGCTGCTGTAGGTGCTGGGATGTATGTCATTCACATGAACCCCTCTACGCCGATGGTTTCGTTGGTTGAAGCTGTCAAACAGTCTGGAGCAGCACAAATTGTGTGTGATTTGGACAATAAAGATTATGTTGTTGAGTTGATGAAATACACAAAACTGCCATGTCTACTTATTAATGGTGTTATGAACGATGGTTTTGTTAATTACGACGATTTCAAAAAAATAGCAGACTCAGTCGATGACGCAAAATTAAAAGAAATTTCATCAACACAAAAACCTACTGACATTGCCGAAATTGTATTCTCAGAAGGACCAAACGGGATCAGAGGAGTTGTCTGGACACATGGCAATATCATCGCACAGTGCTGTGCACTCAAATCAATGTTTAACTTGACGATGAAAGATAAGTATATAATGTGCCACAACATGTCGTATTATGTTGAGAGATTGTTTTCATTGTATTTACCAATTATGGTTGGGTACCAAGTATATGTATCCACCGATGTATTGTATCGTGAGAACTTGAAATACTTCATTGAAATCGCTAAAAAATTTAAACCAACGTTGGTTGTTGGAGTACCAAGATTCTACGAGAAAATTTTAATGCGATTGAATGAAGTGTTAAAGAAGTCTAAACTTGCGGCCAAAGTGAAAGATTTAGCGGTAGATGGGATGGTTAAACAAGAAGAAGGCAAATCAAAGCCAGTTGGGTATGGCACATCACGCACTTTGGTCTTCAACAAAGGAAAAGAAAAGTTAGGTGTTGTTAATGTGAAATATTTCATATGTGCTGGTAATTTGGTTCAAAGTGTATTAAAAGAAGTCATGGGGAAAGGCATTGAAGTCTTTTGTGGACTTCCTTTCATAGAAACCACTGGATTTATCGCACTTAATAGAGAAAAGTGTTTGCAATTGGAGTCCGTTGGTAAAGTTATTGATAAATGTGAAGTGTCGCTCAACGGTAGTGAATTGGTTTGTAAAGGACCCACAATATCTGGTGGGTACACAACCGAAGACATTGAAGAAGAATTCAAAACAGGATGCGAGGTGAAAATAAATAATGGGTTCATCGAAATAACAACGTTCAGCAAATCAGTAATATTAACAAGTTCAGGCGAGTTCATTCCATACAGATACGTCGAAGAACTTGTAAAGCAATTGGTAGTTGTCAAAAGTGCATTGATTGTAGGCAACGACCGACCGTATTTAAGTTGCATATTGACCGTAATTTATGCCAAAGCTAAAGACGTATTGAAAGAGAAGTGTCCGACAGAGAAGATGCTTGCAAGAGATTCGTACTTCGGCACTTTCATTCGTCAACGAATTGATTGGCTTAACAAACAACTTCCAAAGCCACTTCAGATCAAACGGTTTGGAATATTACTTGATGGGCAACCAGGCACTGATATAT